GTTTATGTGTATTTTAATTCGCGTGATTATTCTTCGGCCCAAAGGCAGTCGGTAATTGACAGAATGAAATATACATCTGTGATAGTATGTATGGGACGATTATATGGATTTAACTTATGTGAATGGTACATCAGTCCAAAGATTGGTTGCTGTTTGACATTACTTATTGTTCGTATATGATTATTGCAACAAGATGACTGCTAGCAATCAATGTTATTGATCCAAAGATTGATCATTGATGTTGCACTTAGTGTCTTGGGATGATAATGCATTATTATTGAGCTTCATTATGATTCATTTGGTTGCATGAATCATGACTTGGCATTAATAATAGACCAACTCACTCATACGACGAAAAACACTGCTCATGAAGGACATTTGTTTGAGAAGTGGGATAGGTCCAACGCCTAAGTCTAATTATCCTTAAGAAAAGCACTCCATAAATTTTAGGAGTAAAGTATATGATGATATGGATTCCTTGTCGAAATTAAGAAACGCTTTACCAAAAGCGATAAGGCAGAAATGCGTACTCTTCTTAATAGTCTCATTACCATAAAGTATAACGACAAACATAACATAAGGGAGTACATCATGAATGTCTACTATTGCTACTAAATTGAGGGCACTTAAGTTAGATATTTCGGAGGACATGTTTGTTTTATTGGTCTTGCTCTTGAAATTAATTTAATTTAAGTTCATAGACACACCTGAGGGGGTGAATTTTGGTGTAACAACTCACATCAGTGTGTCTATGCAAGATTATTTCTATTGTCGAAATCAATTGGTGTTAAAAGATACATCTATATGGGTGACGACAAGAAAGTTCAAGTTGAAGTCATTGACAATTATAGATTATTATTGAGTACACGTTACTATTTGAATTTGGATGAGACATTTTTTTATGGTACCATGTTCAATCAAAATTTAATTTCCATCTCTATTTTGAACAAATTCAGTTATTAATGTTCATTCGAATATAAAGTTTTGTCTCTTCCAGAATTCAAAATTGGTTGGAACTAGTACATCATTTGATAATAATAATCACCATTTAATTAATAGTCTGACTTCATATCATGAATTAGTTATTGAACATATTCATACAACTTCCACGATTACGGATCCGCTTAATGAATAAAGGGTTTCCACATAAGTTCTATAGTGAGCATATTGCTCATATGAAAGTGGAGCCATATAAGATACTTCGGTTTAGTGGGAGCTAATTAGTAGTGTCCAAATACTATCAAAGTTACTTTTGTTTACACTGCACAGTTCAGTATTCAATGTTTAATATTCAGTGTGCAGTATTCAGTTGTTTTGAATTAAAGTTAAGATGGATCAGTTGGAAATAGGCATCTTAAGATCACATTACATGAAATTTCCATGCTGTGCATCCGTACTTGATCGAATCTTAGGTTATATTAGTGTTGTGACCATTGATCGGTCCCATTGCGATAAATGCAGTGACGGCCGCTTTGATCCGCATTGATGTGACTTATAGATAAGATTGATAATATACATTAAGGATCTGATAGCAAAACATTCGTGAGCTCATAAGGTTATTCAGTGTACATTTACATTTACCCAAGTGGGAGATTGTTGGATTAAAAATCCAATTGTGGGTTAAATGTAACTATTTGGGCTATCAGTCAGATTAAGCCTATATTAAGTGATCTATTAATTTATTGGGCTTAAATGTATTTAGTAAGTGCGGGCCTCCAATGTACAGAAACCCGGTAACTTATTAATTGGGTGATGAGGCCAATTAATAATAAGGGATATAAATAGGGTTGTGATCCCAGGTCTAGATGCAACAACCATTACGTTCCATATCTCATCGTGGAAGTAACGGCAGAAACCCTAGCGGTTTCCTCAGGAGGGGTTGCGCCATAGACTTGAAGAACACAAAACCCTCAATTATTAGCATATCCGAATTCGACTATACTAATGGAATAAGGTTAGATTTATTTTGCTTTATTTTTATCTCAATTATGACAACACGGTAGATCCTGGGCTTAGGGTTAAATTCCTGATAAGTTCAACCAAACTTTCAATCAGATTCTTCTTCCTTTATAGAATAAAACAATATTTTATATTTTATATTTTGATAAATTATATCATCATAATATAATAATTACTTTAATACATTATTATATTTAATTACTGTTTTTTATTTGATATATTATATATTTATTTTAATATTAATTATTAATGAACAGTAAAAATATTTTTTAATATAAATAGTGATTTAAGATAAAATTGACTATTTAGCAAAGATTAATACTCCGTCCGTCCCAAAGTATTCATTTTTCTATTTTAGTATGTCTCATAATAAAGTATCAATTTTTTTTAAGTAACTGTATCTACCTAACATTACAAATATCCTTACAACTTACAATATATTACACAAATGTCATTACCATTATATCACACGTACTAATAAGATTATTTTAGTCATTTCTATTTTATTCCTACTATATTCAAATATCATACTAATATTTTTAAAACTCCGTGTAAAAAGCACATAGATATTTAGTTATGAGAAGGAGAGAGTATATAGTACTATAAATGGTCTCAATTTTTTTTCCTATTATTTTTAATTTTAAAACTTTCTATAACATCTTTCTTTATAAATTTCAGATGGGTTTCTTTACTTCAAACCTTCGCTTTTTTACTATTTGGTATTTTCGTTTTCCGACATATTTTTCTGTTACAAAATATCTCATCAATTTTTATTTTTAATATCAAATTTAAATCAACTTTTTTTCCAAACCAATCAAAAGAAACATAACTTTATTAATCCTTTTTTTAATCTTTCTAAAAATAATTTATAAAAAAAATCACAACTAAATAAAGAAAAATAAATTTAATCAAAATTATAGCAATTAAAAAATTGTTACATATATAAAGACCCATATTCATCAGTATGCACTATTCAGGCCCAAAAAGATTTGTTTCTTTAGACCAAAACTATGTATTTTTTTTTCTCTTAGAAATATCTCGTTAAACATTATTTTAATATCAAATTAAACGGAACTTTTTTCCAAACTAATGGAAAGAAACACCATAATTTGTAAATAAAGCAAAAATAAAATGAAATAAAAAATTAATAGAAAATATTTTATCCTATTATAATAATAGGACATGGAATTATACCCATTCGTCCATAAACTTTATGATCATTTCAGCTTGATACGTAGTTTAATAAATATTATTATACTTATTAATTAATTGTAATATAAATAAAAGTAATTTGATTAAGTATACAATAGGTTAATTTTACAAATTAAATGTATAAATATTTGTGACATTTATAAATAAATATAATATTAAAATATATAAATTAAAAAATATTTAAAATTATTTGCTATAAATAAAATTATATACTTCTTCCACCGTACAATTATATGCTCATTTGATCAGATACGAATTATTAAAAAATAAAGGTAAAAATATAATTTTATTTTATTTTTGTAAAGAAAAATTAAAAAAGTAGTTTAAAATAAAAAACAAAAATAAATTTAGATGATAATTAAAAATAAAAATAAAAATAAATTTAGATGAAATTTTTTATTAACATATACTCCCTCCGACCCAGAAGAAGTGTCTTGTTGGAAATTGGCACATGAATTAAAGAATAATAGTATTTAATTGAAAGTAGGTATAAAATAAAATGTAAAAGACTAAAATGTTTTTACTTTTTGAAGAATTTTAAAAAATAGATTAGAATAATAATTAGGGGTAATTTAAAAAAGTATGAATAATTTTGTTATATAATGGGAACCACAATTACCAAATAAAGAAACATGACAATTGTTTTGGAACGGACGAAAATAAAAAAAAATAAGACAATTCTTTTGGAACGGAGTGAGTATATATTTAATGAATATAGAAAATACTTCATTATTACTCCCTCCGTCCCATAACAAAGTATCAATTTTTCCATTTTAGTCCGTCCCATAACAAAGTATCCATTTCTCTTTTTAGTAACTGTACTATCTACCTGACATTACAAATACCCTTACAACTTATAATATATTACACAAATGCCATTACCTTTATATCACACATACTAATAAGGTTATTTTAGTCATTTCTACTTTATTCCTACTGTATCTCAATATAATACTAATATTTCTAAAACTACGTGCAAAAAGCAAATGGATATTTAATTTCAGAACAGAGAGTATTATTTATTAATTACTCCATCCGTCCCACATACCATGTCATTTTTATTTTTTAGAAAATAATTACACACTTTAATTTCATTTTAAATTTTTTAATTTTTTTTTTAATTTTAATTAAACTAATTAGTTATCTTAATCTTAATTTATAATTATTTATATTATAAAATAATTATTTTTACTAATACATTTTTAATTATCTACTGATTACACTCCTCTTAAAATACCGTATCTGCAGTGTAACAGACACAATATCTGGGACAGAAACAATATATTTTTTTAAAAATCTTTTGGCCATTGCAATCAAGACGTCATATATGGCAGAAGAGCATGGCTTACGCATTATTATGTTTTCAGTCCTATATCAATGACAACATAAAACAATTATTGCACTGTACTTCAAACGTACTTTCCAACTATTCAAAATTGAAATCAATCCAATACATATTTTTCACTAAGGAAACAAGCAATTCAATCTCTTTATAGTAAATTAAGAAGTGTTCCTCCGTCCAACGTACCATGCTGTCGTTTCTTTCTGTTTCACATTTCATGTCATTTTCTTTTTTTTTTGAAAATAATTATACACTTTAATCTTATTTTAAGCTTTTTAATTTATTTATTTTTTAATTTTAATTAAACTAATTAGTTATCTTAATCTTAATTTATAATTATTTATATTATAGGATAATTATTTTCACTGATATATTCTTAATTATCTACTAATTACACCCCTCCTAGAATACCGTGTCTACAATGTAGCAGACACTGCATGTGAAACGAAAGGAGTACATATTTCAGAAGTCATTCGAACTATTTTACAATTTTTATTCCATATCAATTCACAACTAAAAGAATACATATATATATATATACTTTCGGGATCGATCAGCAGAGTGACAAAAAACAGCAAAGAACAAATATCCCTCTATTCTACACAATATTACAAATAATATCATTAAAAAATAAATCGGTTTAAGGACAATATTATTTATTTATCTTTTTATTATACAAATATCTATAAAATACTAATATACTAAAATAAAATACAAAAAACAAATAATTACATATAACTAGTACAGAGTAAGTATTATTGAAACCACATGCAAATACAACAAAAATATCATTCAATAGTGCTTTCACAATCTATTATACCTCATAACAAAAACACCTTAATATATATATATATATATATGTTAGACCGGATCATCTATCCTATTAATACACCCTATCCCCTACCCCACACACCTAATGTGTATATATACACATGTATGTATATATTATATATATTATGTGTGTGAAAACAGAGAAATATGATTTATTTTTGGAAGAGGATCCCATGGAATGTATATATATATATACATACATACAACCAACGTTTCGAGTGTGTTTCTTTACACCCGAGGATTTCTATTATTTGAAATTTGAGTTTCGCAAAAATAATACTCCCTCCGTTACTTAACAATCTATCCATTTTTCTATCTATTTTTTCATTTTGGTCGGTCCCAGAACAAAGTATTCATTTTGTAGTAACTTTACCATCTACCTAACATTACAAATACTCTTACAGTATATTACACAAATGTCATTACCTTTATATCACATAATACTAATAAGGTCATTTTAGTCATTTCCACTTTATTCCTACTATATGCCAATATAATACTAATATTTCTAAAACTCCGTGGAAAAAGCAAACAAATACATAGATATGGGACAGAGGGAGTATATTTTTTTTTTCTCAGAAATTATTTTAATACCAAACTTAAACTAAAATTTTGGCTAAATTGCACAAAACTTACCGGTGGTTTCATAAAATTGCGCCAAATCCCCTATACTTCTAAAACTGCGTCAAACTTTCTCGTAGTTTCGTAAACTCTGCGTCTAACCCCTCGGCGGTCCTTATTTAAGGATATTTGACCTAAATGTGTCCAAACAACGAACAAATTTTAGAATATCAATTTCTAAACGCCTAAAATTAAAAATATATTTATTTTTTTTATATTTAGTCTAAAAAAATAGTAAATATATTAAAAAATAGTTATTTTTCTCAAGTTTTAAATTTTATTTTTCATGTTTTTTTAGGCTAAATATAAGAAAAAATAAACATATTTGTAATTTTAGGGGTTTAGAAATTGAGTCTCCGCATTTAGGTGAAATACCATTAAACAAAAACGGCCGAGGGGTTAGATGCAGAATTTATACCAGTTTTAAAAGTACGGGGATTTGGCACAATTTCGTTAAACTATGGGTGGATTTTGTGCAATTTAGCCTAAAATTTTTCAAACTCAATAAAAAGAAACCCACCCAAAATGCATAAAGGGATGGCAACAATTATTAAGCATCCAACAACAGCAGCAAAACAAATCAGCAATGCAAATGCAACACATTGATTAAATAAATTATGCATAGTAGTAACAGTAGTAGTTTCAATTATGTCAATTTTGCAAGAAACCAAACCCAGTGCATAAAGAATTCTCTTCTCCTACCCATCATCCCTAAAAGCTTCACCACAGTTCTTTAATGGCCCAGCTGCAGTCTGCCTGCCTGCCAGCCTGCCTGCCTATACTTTTCCAAACCTCACACACACGACACCATGCTCGTACTTCCCCCAGTTTTTACAGCACAAGAATCTATCCATTACTGGAACAAACAAACCCCCCTAGAATAAACAGTACCATTACTGGATGCAATGGAATCACCATTACAGTAATGGAACTTTCTTCCGTCCCCTCACCCCCACACAGTACTATACATACAGTATGCACACAGAAACAACAACAAGAACACAGATTAATCTAATCTAATCTAATCAAATCACAGATATCAACAATGCTTTTCTAATTTTGTAATGGGGATCGAAGAATTACCTCAAGAATGATGAACTTCCAAGCTCAACAATGGCTGCCTCCTCCCCTGCCTCTGCAGAGAATCAAATCAAATCAAATGAAATCTCCATCTCTAGTGTTACAAAAAATGATCGATTGAATTCGATGAACCAGTAGTAGTCTCATAGCTATAGCAACACAGAAGAAGATAATGACAATCCTATACACAACCAACTCAAATTAATCATCCACATTCTCCTCCCCTTTCCGATCTGCAAGCCCGGCGGCGAGGATAGACGGCTCGGCGGAGCGAAAGTCACCGGAGAATTTATTGGGGATTCGGCGTCAGGCGGCGGGGCAGGTGAGGAAAGCGCTCCGCCGCCGCCGCCGTCGCCGATTTCGATTGGATTGTTTCCGAAGTATTCCTTCGGGAGTAAGACTTTGGAGACTCCGAAAATTGCTACCGGCTTCTGATCGAAAACCGTTTGCGTAATTGAAGCTTGGACGATTCCGGTGTCGATGGCGACGGAGCCGTTAACTCGGGAGATGTTGACGGTGAACTGACCGGCTTGGTTTTGCTCTGTGGCGAGGGTGGGGTAGATAGGGTTCACGATCTTCTCGAGAGTTCCTAAGGGGTAGTAGGAATGGAGGACGTGGTACCTGAGGACGAAGGCCTTTTTGTCCGCCGGTAGGGACTGGAATTTGACGGAGGAAGGTAGATCGGCGAAGGCTGCGTCGGTAGGGGCGAGGACAGTGATTCCGGCGCCGGTCTCGGCGGCTTCGAATTCCGAGACGACGCCGGAGGCGGCGAGCATAGATGCGGCGACATTGAAGCTGTGGCCGTCGATTAGGGCTTTGGTGATGTTCAATCCGAGCGGCGGCCGCGTCTCCGACGCCATGAGATCGAGATTCTCCGGAATCAGGAGGGAATTGAGGGAGAGGATCGAGATGTTGTAAGGTAGGGTTTCGATTTGAGACAGGAGCGTCGCGTTCGAGGAAGGGGAATGGAATTCGACGGCGGCGGAGGATGCGCCGGCGGTGATATTCACCGTACCGCCATTCTCCGCCGCGCGGCCGGTCGTCTGGAACAGCGTCGCGACGAGCTTGCCGGAGGGAGGAATCTGGCGGAGGTCGGCGAGGGAGAGGAACTGGAGGAGGACGTGGTAGCGGAGGACGTCGGGGAGGTTGGTCGGAGATAGAGAGTCGGTGTGGAGGTAACCGTTGGGGACGACGAGGAGAGTGAGGGAGGAGCGGGCGGAGAGATCGGCGGCGACGGCGGTGGAGGTGAGGAGAGCATTGAAGTCGGAGAGATCGGGGAAGGCGGCGAGGAGATGGGTGACGTTGAGAGGGGAGACGGCGGAGGAGAGGAGGAGGAAATAGAGGATTCCTGCGAGGGTAAAATTGGAAATTAAAATTGGGGCAGCCATTTTTGCTCTGTGCGGAGAGTGAGAGAGCTCTGAGACAGAAGACTGCGGGCATTCGAACCTCAATAGTGTCTGTGTGTGAGTGTGATGACAACATTATTTAATTTTATTTTTATTTATTTATTAATTAATTAATACAGCTGCTGAAATGCCAAATTAGTGACTTGAAACAACTGCTACTACACTTTCCTTTTATAAAATATTTAAAAATAGAATAAATAAATATGACATCATTTTTTTGCATTTAGATCTGGGATGTGTTTGTTTGCGTTTCGGTTTCTTCGAGCATTATTTTGAATACTTCTCTTTCTTTCGTAACAAATTATCTATTTTTTCATTTTGGTTCGTAATATAATAAAATATTCATTTTTTTTTAGTAACTGTACTATCTACTTAACATTACAATTATCCTTACGATTTACAATATATTACACAAATGTCATTACATTTATATCACGTTATACTAATAAAATTATTTTTGTCATTTCTACATTATTTCTACTACATATCAATATAATACTTAATATACTTTAAACTACATGCAAAAAATAATTAAATAAATACTTATTTAAGGACGAACGAAATATTTCTTTGATGAAAAAATAGAAAATATTCCATAAATATATGTTTACATTCACCCACACAATATATATAATTTATACACAAAAAATTAACCATTCAATATAAAATATAATTACGATGCCCTTTTTTAGTTGCCCATTATATTTATGCCTCTAAATAGTAAATAACTTTGTTCACTCAGTAATTTTATTTATGTTTAAGCAAATAATAATTAATTTATTATTATTTTTTATATTGATCGCATCATCTTTGTATTAATTTTTTTAATTAATTTTTTATAATATTTTTATTTATTTATTCTATTTACAATTTTTAGGTGAAACGGTCGTTCAGCTTCCGACACCGTCTCCATTTGTGCACGTATGCATATGCAAGTTTCGCAGATCCCACTTGCACTTGAAGGGATATGTTGTGATTCCATTTTACAGATATATTAAAATATTATTATTTTTTAGTTTTCATACCCAAATAAAAAGACATAATTAGATCAAACAAGAAAAGTATTTTTTTTATATTACAATTACGATCCACTTCAAACAAAAATATTAAACCAACGTATTAGAAATGTATCTTTCTTATTTATTTTTGTATTATTCATCAATAATTTTATTTTCAAAAAGATATACTCCTTCCGTCCCAAATTGAAAGTTGGTATACAATAAAATATAAAAAGACTAAAATGCCTTTTTTTTTTTTTTTTTGAAGGATTTTAAAAAGTTGATTAGAGTAATAATTAGGGGATAGTTTTGAAAAATATGAATAATTTTGTTATAAAGTGGGGACCACGGTTACTAATTAAAAAAATAAGACAATTGTTTTAAAATAAACGAAAATGAAAAAAATAAGACGATTCTTTTGGGACGAAAAAAGTATTTAAAATTTACCTTTTATTTAAAATATCGATTAATTATTTAAATATCTCAGCATCTCAATATATATATATTTCTATTAAGTCCCATAAACAATTATTTTCCTCACAACTCTTTAATCATTCTTAATTAATTGCATCATGTTTATATATTTAACTTAGAAAATTCTTATTATAACTGATGTTCCCGGATCTTGGTAATTTAAACTGTTAGATGAGTGAGACGGTCATTTTGATAATCTAATATGGTATTAGAGTCTTAAGTTTCGAATTCGAGTTCCACTATACTTCATTTATCGGTTTATATTAGCGGTGTCGACTCAAATCGACAGACCCGAAAATTTAAAACAATTTAAATTTATTTTTAAAAATCTATTTTAATTTAATTTTTTATATTTTTTTATCTAATATAATATGAATATTATAAATTAAAATAATAATAATAAAAAAATTTCAGGCCAACTCAAAATCCGACTTGATTTTTATATTTTGGATTATTAGGTCAATTCGAAACTCTATCCAAATATGATACGATTTTTTTGTTTTAGTTTCGAGTCGATCCGATATTTTGTAAACCCAAAATATCTAAACTCAAATCTGAAAAATTTCATGGAACGAGTTCGATTTTTCGAATCAAATTTAATTTTGACACCCTACAAAATATTATGCGTTTTAAATATATATATATATATATTAAACATTTTGAAAGTGATTCTATGCCTAGAAGTGAATTCCGACATTGTGCATGAATCTAATCAAACAGATCATATTCAAAATGAAATTCCTAGTGTTAAAAACAAAATTTGTAGGTGTTCGTCTCAAGAATTTTACCCAAATTTTACTATTTATTAAATATATATATATATTTTTTTCAAAAATATCAAATCACAACACTTATTTTATATTTTTGTATAGTATTCTAATTTTATTTTTTTTATATACATTTAAAACATCAATGCCTATTTATATCATATTATACAATTATTACAATTCAAAATTTTTACTATTCAAGTTCCAACTCAAAAAATCTCAACTCCAAACAAAGACACCCTTTGTAAATTAAATTTAAATGTAAGAAGATTCTCAAACAACCAACACTTGAAATAGTTTTGATTTGACTTTAGGCAATGCATGATGAAATAGTCTCATTACATCTTTGTCCCGTAAGGGATGACCTGGTGGTGTAAGATTGAATTTGTGACCATGAGGTTATGGGTTCAAACCTGAGACGTAAATACTATAATTCTCACTTAAGTAAAAAATGAAATATCTGCATTAATTTGGTAAACTTAAATCAATATATTTATAGCCAAACTTACACTAAGTAAGTAAGAACACAAAGAATTTGCACCAAACGGCCGGGTTTGGATCGGGTTGGGTTAATCTGAAATAAAATCCAAAAAATTAAAATGATCTTTTTATCAACCCTAATTCAATCCATATGTTATCGTATCGGGTCGGGTTGATCTAAAATACAATCCAACAAATTAAAATTAAATTGTTTTGAAAAATTATTAAACTAAAATTATTTTACATATATAATAAATATATTAATTAATATTTATATATTATAAACGGGTTGTTGTCGGATTCGGATTGAAGGCCTCAATTCTAACTCAATCCGTATATTATTGTCAGGTTCATATCGTTTTGCATACATAAGTAGGTTAAAATTTTAGATTCAAATCCAATTTTTATATCATATTTCGTATCAAATTATCGCATCAGATTAATTTTTGTCACCCAGTGACGAGACCTTTCAAGTCTCTACTTAGCTCCGTCTATGCATTGATTAAGTTTTCTATGTAACGAGGCTCATAACTTATGATTCGTTTAAATTGATATAAATACGTATATATATTATAAAAATAATTGAAGTTAAATAGTAAAAAATAAATCAATTTGATTTTATGTTTCAATATTTGTTTATAATATTTGATTATAATAAAATTAAAATTTCTTTAACTTGTCAAATATCTATATATATATTCTTCTGCCTAGTTAAAAAATAATTTTCATCCCATTTAATTTGTATACTATTTTTTTCCGTTTCTCATATATAATTTCTTATTTTTTTAAAAAAATATAATTATATACTTTAATCATAATTTAAAATTTTTTATTTTAATTAAACTATTAATCATCTCAAACTTAATTTATAATTATTTTTAATAATACAATTTTTAATTAATTATTAATTATCCAATACCTAAAACTCTATATCTTAACGCAATGGACAATTTAAGAGGGAAGAGAATATATATTTACTTTTGGAGTAGAATTTTAAAAATAATAATATTATAATTGTAGGAGTAGTTAAAATAATAATAAAAAGTATTTTTGAAATAATTATTTTTGTAATTGAATAAACTAAAAAAAATATATATATAGTACTATTAAAATAAATTCACTTTTAAGTATTTTTAATTATAATTATTATAAATTTAATAAATAATAGTTAAAAATATTGAATTATCTAATATAATTAGAAATTACATATATTTTTTTAAATTTAATAATTCAATTATATTTTTAATTTTGAGTTTGTATATACATTTATAAAATTTTATATTTTTAAATTTGATTTTCAAATATTATTAGAGCAAAAAATTATTTTTGGTCTCATTGTATATCATAATTATCAATTTGGTTTTATTAATTTTGGTCTCATTCAAATTAAAATTTATCATTTTAGTTCCATGGTAGCGGATAGGATTGAACATAGCCGTGTTGGCTTAATATGGCAGTGTTCATGCCCTGTTCACGGCCATGATCTGAACACAGTCGTGTTCTATCTGTGTTATTTTTTTTTTCCAACACAGTCATATTTTTACCTATGTTCACGATCTTGGTTTCAACATGGTAATGTTTTAGATCACATTCGTTATTATTTTTACATTTTATTTATTCAAATTATTATATATATATATATATTTATACTTTAATGAAAATATATTTTACAATTATTTAAAATATAAAAAAATATTAAACAGTATTCTCTGTAATTTAAATTTATTCTAATTATTTTTAGTTGTCATCAAAATTTATTATCGTTTTTTTAAAGTAAAAAAATACTACTATTTTTTTTATTATAAAAAAAAATTTCTATTTTCACAAATTTTTCTTAAAATTTATATCCGATCAAATAAAAATAAAATTCGTTGATAAAGAAAGTAATATTTTAAAAAATAATTACAAAAAAAACTATAAAAATAATAGATTAATATATATATTTTTAAATAAAACATATAAAATTAGTAAAGAGTTATTTTAATTGTGACGGACAAGTATAATTTTAAATATTCAAACTCAAACTCAACTCCGTCGAGTAGTTGAAAAATAGAATTATATTCGCATAATATTTTATGCTATCCAAAATACCCCTGAATCTCATCCCAACCCAGCATATAAGAAGAGATAGGGATGTCAATGGGCCAGGTTCGGGACGGGTTTTGCAGGCCCCGAGATCTGCCCTGCTAAAAAATATATGGACCCAAGACCCGCCCCGCCCCGCTTTAACCCGGCCCAAGATCCGTTCCGCCTCGAACCCTCCGGGTTCGGAGCCAACCCAACAAATTCGTTTTTTTTTTTTTTTTTTAAATAATAAAATAAAATTTTTTAAAATTAATTTAATACTAAAAGAAGTATGCATGAAAGTATCAAAAAATTATAGTTCTAAAAATAAGAACAATTAAATATTGACGACAGTACGTAATGATGACGGTCAACAGTAGTCCCGACTATAAAGAGAATTGTAGGAGAAACAAATGCAAAGATAAATTTGATTTAGAATTAAAGTTATATTTTATATTTAAAAATTTATATTGTATAAAAATATAAATAAATTATAATAATTATTAAAATATCCGGGTTCGGGTCTGAGTCTGAAGTGGAGCAGGTCTATAGTAAAACCCGTAACTCGTCCCGAACCAACCCCATTAAGACCGGGCCCGGAGCGGGTCCGGAGCTAACCCGCCCCATTTGACATCCCTAATAAGAGACCATAATTGGAATTCCAAAGTTACCATTAATAAATTAGGATAAACTATATAGCATCCCATTGTGTTTTATTAAAAATGCACAAAATACTTTGTATTTTATTTATTGCGTAAAACTATTTATGTTAATGTAAAATTTGCACAAAACATCATATTTGTCCAAAATTGATAAATTACGCAAGTTTTTACAAATAAGAAACGCAAAATATCTGAAATGATTGTTTTGAATAAAATTAATGATAAATAATTGATTAATTTTTTGTTTTATAGTTTTTGGAGACAAATTGTTACCTAATTTTAATAAAAACTATAAAAATAAATAATTGATTAATTAATTATTTATTTATTTTATTCAAAAGAAATTATTTAAGATATTTTTTATTTTTTATTTATATAAAACTTGCGTAATTTAGATTTTTATTTAGAATAAAATATCAATTTTTAGACAAAAATAGTGTTTCGTTCAAATTTTACATTTATGTAATAAATAAAACACGGTGTATTCTGTGTGTATTTTTACTGTAAGACAACGGGATGTTATATCATCTTATCAAACCCCCACATACAATACCGATACAATATTTATCCAAATGAGTTTCCAATTATTAAGCAAAACAATAAATATAAATTGATTTTTATGACACAATTATTTATTACATTAATATAATAAATAATAATAATAATTAATTCCACAATATAAGTAGTCTGCGCAGTTGTGCCAATTCACCTACATTATATAGAATAATAATATGCAGATCACTAACCATGAAAGCTCCACTAGTTATCTCTCCATGGAGCTTCTTCTTCTTCTTTTCCCCAACCAACTTTCCGCCTTTCTTCACTCTCGTCTTCTTCCTTGATGCAAATGCAGTCAAATTTTCGATTTCTGTTTATGCGAAAGGATCGGATTTATCAGGAATCGTGCATGTCTGTCGTTGAATTCCTGCACTGAATTTGGGGAAGGTGAAATTATTTATTTGCTTTCGTTCGTAATTGTTTTGATTTTTTGTTCTGTTTGGAGTTTCTGGTAGAATTGTTATCTGGTGTTGAATTTTATGGCGTGGTTGGGTAACTGTGAGCGCAGTTTGGGATTAATTTTGGTTTTGATTGATTGTTGGATTGCGATTTTGTGTTTGGCGGCTGGAGAATTTGGAATTCGAACCCTAATTGTTTTTGGGTGATTTCTGAGAACCAATAGAACAATTTAGTGCTGAAATTCGCAGAGAACTGAATCAATAGATCGATTTAGTGATGAATTTTCAAACGAATTGATTGATATGTTTTGAGACTATGAAGATTGCTTCGTAATCATGATTTAGAACAGAGCTTCCTGTATTTTATATAAAATTGATAATTCTTTCTGATAATACTAATTGTTGAAACTTGAAATGTGCTAAAGATGTGAAGAAGCATTCATGAACTGTATTTGAATTCAAGTGATTCCATGGATATGATAACTCCATAGCCTGATGAAATGCTAAATCTGAGGTCACTTACAGAGTATATTTTTCGAATTTTTGATGCAATTTAGAGAATGGGAAAGAACTTCTGGAGGAAGAACATAGCCGATAAGTTCGTCCACGCGCTCGACTACAATCGATGGAATGTCTTGAAGTTTAACCATGGCCAGAAGATCGAAGCCACAAGATATAAAAAATGTAATCACTCACAAGCCTTATTTGATTTGTTGTACCTATGGCGTGATTAGCTCGTGAGAATCATATGTTTCAATGGTTTTAGCTTAGTTCTCGACTAATTTTCATTCGATATTTGCAGGGGATTTGAGCTCTGAAGCTGCATTGTATGGAGGTTTTGATACCTTCGAAACAGCGAAGCTTTTGGATGGAGACGATAGACAACAAATCGTAAGTTCTTGATTTCATTTACCGGACAATTTATAATGTTTGAATTGGTTCTACACATTTGATATTCGCTTTACTTTTATTAGAATGCGAAAGATTCAAATGCACGGAAGCGACAATCGCTTCGAGCTTGGATGAAAGCGTTGATCAGTGAAGAAATCAACGAGGATGAGGATGAAATTTATAAAGAAGGATCTTATTTTGAGACAGAATTGCAGGGGAGTTACCTAAACTCTCTAAACGTCGACTGGAAACATTCGGTTGTCGATACCATAGAAGAACACGTCGATAACGAGAATCCCGACATTCTTGAGATATTCAAGGTCGACAAACACTTGCTGGTAAAAAATCTATGCGATTCCGACGAGACTATCGCGAATTTCTCGCGTGCGGTGTTGGGGTTGAATTCTACGTCGAATCTCATCCGATCAAGATCCTTCCCGCCCGCCGAAACGTCGAATCGAAAAAAGTCCAGGGCTGAAACCTGCGAAAGCAAAATGCCAAAGCTGCATTGTTTGACTAATTTCGACGAAGAACAAACTAGCGACGATGGGAGCAACGTTGACTGCCGTAAGCTTCCGGATAATTCTGAAAATCTCGACTCCGACTCATGCTACATAATGTGCCTTCTCGATCTTTCGGGAATCGCAGTCGATCCATTTAAAATGCGATGGCACTCATCCGACCAACCATTGAATCCAAATCTATTCGAGAGAGTAGAGGCGTGCTGGCCGTGCGAGGATCCGCGAGTCGATAAATGGGAAGACTTTTATGCCTATTGGAATCGTCGAATGCTATTTGATCTTGTTAACGAGGTTATTCTTGAGGTGTACGACGAATCGGCTTCATATTATCCGAAGGCTTTATCGTTGGGGTGTCGCGTAAGGTTATTCCCGGCAGGATACCGTATGATGGAGGAGGTGTGCGCGAGAATCGGCGCATTGATGAGCTTGACGGTGGAGGAAACGATGGAGTCGTTCCGATTTATTTTTGGTCGGGATTTGGCGCGCCATGTCGGGTGGATGAACCTCCAGCCGGAGGCGGAGTGCTTGGGGTTCGCGCTCGAGGATGCCATTTTAGATGAGCTTCTAGAAGAGTATGTTCTCTTATACGATTTTATGTCTTGATTGTTCTATTGTTTTTTTTAGGGTGTATAGACTATAAATGGTGTTTAACTGCTCTTTCTAACATAGAAAAGGTATTTATGTTATGGAGTAGTTTTCTTTCAGCATAGAAAAGGTATTTATGCTAAGATTCTTTTTATATTTAAAACTTTTTAAATAAATAAATATAGTAATAATCTATATTATATAAATATATATTAATTCTAATAATTATTAAAATATTTGGATTCGGGTCCGAATCGGAGTTGGGATGAGTTTATAATAAAACCTACATGCCCCTAATTCAGCGGGATTTAAAACATAAAATCAACAATTCATCCCAAAGCAAATTATTTAAATTCGAATCCGCCACATTAAAAGGCGGGTCTGGGGCAAATCTGCAGCTAACCCGCCTAATTGGGCCGACCCGTTTCAAATTTTTGTTAGGGGTATATTAGTCCAGATTTAGGTTGGGCTTGTAAATTCAAGTTTGGGTCCGGTTTCATTTCAAATTGTTTCGGACGGGAGCCTGCTTTTATTTATTTGTTATTATTATTTTTTTAAAATAAAAATTATTATATTTTGTATGATTTTTTATTAAAAAATAAATTATATTAATCCAAATACATACAATTATGATAAGATAATATTTTCATTGATAACTAAATAGTTATTTGGCTGTAATTTGAAAAGAGTTATTTGTTAAGAATATCTCAGTCTTCTAACTTAAAATTCGATTGGTGAAAGGTGGAGAGCCCTTCACCTTTATAAGTAAGGGTGAACATTGGTCGGTTCAAATTGAAAAAATCGATTTTTTTTTTCGATTCAGATTGTTTGGTTTGGATTGTTCAGTTAATTAATTTGGTTCGGTCCAAAATCAAATTTATAAATTTCAGTTTCGGTTCGGTTATAATTTAAAATTTTTAATTTTGGTTAATCGAAAAAATCGAACTTTTAAATATAGTAATAAATTATATATAAATGAATAATATATACTATAATTTTGAGTATTTATATTTGATTAATATTAAAAATATATATTAATAAATAAAAGTTCGGTTTCTTCGGTTTTAAACCGAACCAAACCGAACTAGTTTGGTACTTGGTTTTGAAAAACTTTGGTTCTGTTTCGATTTCAATTTTTATAAACCAAAAATCGATCAAAATTGAAAGTTCAATTTGGTTTGAACCGAATCAACTGAATGCACACCGTACTTATAAGCCAAGAGAGTTCCCACGTCATATCTAATGTGAGACAATATTCAACACTTTCCTCTCGAAATGATAATTTAAAAAATTCATACATGATCAATACCCAATACAAGCACCATGACTCTGATACCATGTGAAAATATTTTATGAAAATTGAAAACTTGAATTGTATTAATAATCAAATAAGATGCCTATATATATATATATATATGCTGCAAGATAAAACAAATTCGATAGACTCAAATCTAAATCTAAAACTACTAAATGTAAAATTTAATATTTAAAATATCTCAACATCCCTTCAAACTCAAGTAGTAAAACAGAAGCCAGCTTCAGTTTGCAAAGAGATTGAAGATAAAAACATCCACATTCTTCCATCATGCCAAAATCAGAAGTAGTGTCTTCAATTGAATTAGAGTCAGAGATACGGAACTCTCACTAGAGTCAGAAAATATGAAACTGGAAGATACGAAACTCTAATCGGGGCCAGAAAACAGTGAATCAGAAACACAGAATTCTCACCCGAGCCAGAAAAATGACGGGACTCTCAATGCAATCGGAAGCATCACTTTGTAGTGAACCATGATAATCGATCAAAGGCAACGCAAACTTAAAAATAAACTTGAGAAAAGAATCAATTTCAGATGTATCTCAAAATAAAAAGATAGTCATTGACACCATAAAATCAAAAAAAAAAAAAAAAATAATTTAGTTTGGAAAACTTCCAGAAATATACCCGGAGAAGCATGAATTATGTTCTGACCACACCACAAATACAATGGAGCGACCTAAAAATTGAAGGTTAAGGGCTTTCGCCACTTGGACTACACTCTATTTTCAAAATAATATATCTTTATTGAAAACAATTGAAAACCTAACAAAATATTTTTGATTTGAAATAAAAGATAAACACACCCAAAGAATCTAAACATTAACTTTAATTTTATTATTCATATTTAAAAAATATTTAAATTTAAATTGTTTTGATAAATCAAAACGCATAGGCATAACTCAATTTGTATAGGCCCAAGAACAATTTGTATAGGCCCAAGAACACTTTGGTTTTTATGAACATATTACTGTAAATATGAGAATTTAGGTCAAATGTAATTAGTAAGTAATTAAAAAATATATTAGTAAAAATAATAGTAGATTAAGATTAATATATATAAATATTTTAATTAACATTAAAAAAATTATAAAATTTAAAATTTAAAATGAGATTAAAGTGTAATTATATTTTTAAAAAAAAGACATTATATAGAACAGACGAAAATAAAAAATATGGGCAAATTATGTAGAACATAAGAAGTATTTTTTAAACTCAAACCTTTATTTTTCGTGTTATGCTCGAGACGAATTTTGAGATATTTTTTATGTCCCACATAATTTACATAATATTAATTTAGTTGGTATGCTTTTAATTTTCAACAAGTCACTATTAAAGAGTTTTAAGGGCTTTCTCAACAAATAAATATAAATAAAAGTTTCTTCATAATTCACATTATAAAATTTAAAAAGAATCAAATTCTGTTTTTATTTAAAATATTATATTTAATATTGACTTACTATACATAATATTAAATATTTAAATATATGAAGATATATTAAAAAAAAAGAATATAAAGTATAAATAAGCACACACAGCGACGTCTTGAGCTGGCGGATGTAAGTATGAATATGGGTGCAGTACACTATGAAGTCAAATATGTACTACACGATACAACCACAATACAATTTGAATTTAGACTTTTGGTTTCGATTTTATTTTGAAGTTTTTATTTATTATTTTATATAAAAAAAATATTTTTATTAAAAATTTTGCATGATTGAATAGTGTCGAAATATATTTGAAACTATAATTTTAGTACTTTTGGTTTAGAGTATTATTTATGTTAAATAAGGGTGTGTTTGTTTGAAGGATTTTGGTGAATTTCCACTATTCATCCAATTTTTTTTCCCAAAAACATCAAATCAAATACCTATTTTTCATTTTTTATATTATACTAAAAATCAATTTTACATTCAAAACATCACATCAAACCCTATTTATATCACATCATACAACTATTCAAATTCAAAATTTTTACTATTCAAATCCCAACTCAAAATCCAAACCCCCCGAACAAACACACCCTAAGAAGAAACATATTACAATATAAAAATTTGGATAAATTATTTTTTTTAATTCCATAACTGAACCCTATATCATTTTAGTCCCGTAAGTGGAGCCTGTTGCAAACTAGTCCCATAAGTGAAAATTTTTCGCTGTTTTAGTCCTCTGGCACCGGAGACGCCCGCATAACTCGCCGGAGGCTACGTGTCCGCCAGGTCAGCGGCACCTGGCGGACACATGGATTTTATTCATTTTTTTCATTTTATTATTATTTTTTAATTTTTTTTTAAAAAAAATTTATTTGCTTTTTTAATTTTTTTATTTAGTCCAATTAAAAAAAATTAAAAAAAAATTAACGTGTCCGTTAGATGTCGCTGATCTGGCGAACACATAGATTTTATTCATTTTTTTCATTTTATTATTATTTTTTAAATTTTTTTTAAAGTTTATTTGCTTATTTTTTTATTTTTTTATTTAGTCCAATAAAAAAACATTAACGTGTCCGTCAGATGTCGCTGATCTGGCGGACACGTGGCTTTCGACGAGCCACGCGGACGTCTCCGACGCCGGAGGACTAAAACAACGAAAATTTTTCACTTATGGAACTAGTTTGCGACAGACTCCACTTGTGAGACTAAAATGATAAGGGAGTTAATTTACTGAACTAAAAAATAGTTTACCTTAAAAATTTATATTTTGTGTTAAATTTTTATTTTTTGTGAATAAGATAGAATATACTCCCTCTGTCCCAAAAGATTTGTCTTGTTTTTCCATTTTCGTCCGTCCCAAAACAATTGTTTTGTTTCCTTATTTAGTAGTCGTGGTCCCCACTTTATAACAAAATTATTTCTACTTTTCCATACTATTTGCTAATTATTACTCTAACATATTCTTTAAAATCCTTCAAAAAGCAAAGGCTTTTTAGTCATTTACATTCTACTTTATACTCACTTTCAATTAAATACTATTATTTCTTAATTTCCGTGCCAACTCTCAATAAGAATTCTTTTGGGACGGAGGGAGTATATTTTATATATTATGTGAGTAGAGGTGACAAAATTTGGGACGCCACAATAACTCGATACAAAATAATTGAGTTTAGATCAAGAATTTCAATTCGATTAGATATACGAATCGATATATATATATATATAATTTAATTTAATAAAATTTTAAAATATTATTAATTTAAATTGAACACAACCTACATATTTTATTTCTAATACTAGTTTTTACCATGTATTGTGTATGTATTTACAACTATTTGTTATTGATTTAGAGTTTATTTGTTTTGTGTTATTATTGATTTAGAGTTTATTTGTTTTGTGTTAATATTATTTTTTATATGAGGTATAAAAAATTGTATCGTTAATATAAAAATAATAATATGTTATATTTTATATTGATTTATGAGAGAGAATAAAATATATATATTGAGAATTGTATAAGAATAAATTATGGACAAACAACCAGATGTTTTGAATGTAAAATAAATTTGTAATATAATATAAAAAAGAAAAAACAATTATTTGATTTGATATTTTTGGAGGAAAAAAAAGAATGAAAATAGTAAAAATTTGTAGTAAAACTCGCAAAAGAAAATAGTTTGGTTATAGTTTGATTTGATTTTTTTTAGTTTTTTTTTTAATCGATTATTTGATTATAGTTTGGTTTGTAAAATTTTAATTAAAAAAAAAAACGGAAATGGATAAACGGGTCGATTTCATGTTAGTTGGATCTGATTCGGGTCATCTAACCTATTTTAAAAAATATTAAACAAGTTAGCGTGATTGAATGAGTCGGATTCAGATCAAATCTTCTAAGTTGTTTAAATAAATGGGTCGGGTTCGTATTGGACAATTTGACCTATTTTAAATCTTGACCCGACCCGATATTTTGATATTATATTTGATGTATATACTTTTAAAACTGATTATTGATGAATAATGTAATTTTCTTCTAAAATGTCTATGTAAATATAGCTAATCATGTCCTTACACGGATGACCTAGTGGTATGAGATGCACTTATGCTCAAATCACATTGGTATAAAAAATTATACAAATATAATGATATTTTTACAATAATACTATCATCATAGTTTAACTATACTACAGAATGAATAAAATTGTACGATCATATCCCTCAATTATATATATACATAAAATATTAATATTAAAAAACTTTTCTTAAAAAAAAATAAAATTAAGTAATATATATATATATATATATATATATATTGTCTTCTTCAATAATTATCCATATCATATCATACCTACCTCTATCTCTCCCATGGCTTCTTCCCCTAAGTCAACTCCCCTAATTCTTACCCTCCTCCTCCTCCAACAATTCTCCACCATCGCCACCGCCCACGGCGGCGGCGGCGACGACAACGACGGCGACAAATCCGATCACCACCTCCACAACCGGTCGCTAATCCTCGTAAAAATATGGTGCCTCATCATCATGTTCGCCACCACATTCGCCGGCGGCATCTCCCCCTACTTCTACCGGTGGAATGAAACGTTCCTCCTCCTCGGCACGCAGTTCGCCGGCGGCGTCTTCCTCGCCACCGCCCTCCTGCATTTCCTCAGCGACTCCGAGGAGACCTTCAGCGATCTGACCTCCAAGAAATATCCCTTCGCCTTCATGCTCGCCGCCGCCGGATATTTGCTCACCATGCTCGGCGACTGCGTGGTCGCGGCGATAATGAGGGACGCCGCCGCCGATAAGGAGCTCCCGTTGGAGGATGGCCGGCAAGAGCAGCCGCCGGCGGCGGCGGAGACGAGTCCGTATTTTGTGAAGACGACGTCCGCCGGAGACACCGTGCTGCTTATACTTGCGCTGTGCTTCCACTCCGTCTTCGAGGGCATCGCCGTCGGAGTTTCCGGTGAGTTAGTTTCTATGTGCAATTTAATTAAATATTTTTAGGCTATGTTTACCTCTATATATATATATATATATATAATTTTGGCATTATTAATGCTATATTTTGTTTGTTTGTAGAATTTTGACCAATTTAAAAGAAACATTAAATCAAAAATATATTTTTTATTTTTATATTATACCCTCCTATCAGTTTGATAAAATTACGTAGATTTGGTTCACTATAAAAAAAGTTGAAAGCTATAAAAAAAATTTTGTAGCAAAATATAATAATTCCTAGTAAAAATATTTTTGTGACAAGACTCTTTTCATCGTTTATATTGGGTTAGTAAATATATTTGACGACAAATATAACTTTCGTAATAAAAAATAATTTTTTTTGCTGTAAATTACAATTTATAACAAAAAAAATATTAGCAACAAAATATATATGATTTTTTTAGCCAAAATAATTTTAGCTATGAAAAATATTTTGTCGTCAAAACATTAGCGACGAAATTAATTTTGTAGTGCATAATTTATTTTAAAGATTAAATTAACTTTGGTTGCTAAATGATACGTTTTAACTACAAAATATTTCATATTTAAAAATATTATAGTTAATTAGATATTTTTTTGTAATGGTCAGACAAAGAAATTCTCCCCCATCCTACTTTATTTGTTCGATTTTTTGTAAATACAGATAAATAATATATAATTAAACAATATATATTAGTTAAATTAATTATTTTATTATATAAATAATTGTAAATTAAAATTAAAATTACTAATTAATTTAATTAAAATTTTTAAAAAAAATATATGAAATGAACATAAATGAAAATATTGGACAAATTATGTATTATATAGTCAACAAACACATTCCTTCTCGTGCAAGAGTTATTTACGTCTCACCCCCTTGTAAAAAGGTTTCACGTGCAAAATTAAGGTGGGGCATAAATTCACCTTGCACGTAAAATGATCTGATGATCAATTAGATAATATATAAAAAATAATGCACGGTCATTTAACAATTACATCAAACATTTATTTTTTTTTAAAAAAAAACTCAAACTCTTAAGCTCAAATTCAGACTACTTAGATTTGAGTCTTATAAATCGATCTGTTTTGTATTGCCTATATATAAGCCCCTTATTTTAATGATCAACAAAAAAAATCTCATTATATTCCCCCAAAATTTCTAATATGGTATCAGAGCCTATTTTTTTCTCATGCAGTAGAGATAGCCTACCAACTCTCGTTTCTCCGAGTACATGCAACATGGATTATACCCAGAGATCTTGTAATTTTGAGATCATGCTATCTGTACACACAATGTTTTTCTTAGTTTTACAACTTGTCTACGGTCGCAGCTACTAAAGGAGACGCGTGGCGAAACATGTGGACGATCTCACTACACAAGATATTCGCGGCCATCGCGATGGGCATTGCGCTTCTAAAGATGATACCAAAGAGGCCATTGGCGACAACCGTGGCCTACTCATTCGCCTTTGCGATTTCAAGCCCCGTCGGGGTGGGGATAGGCATTGCTCTCGACGCCACCACACAAGGGCGTAGCGCGGATTGGACTTACGCCATCTCGATGGGGATAGCGTGCGGAGTTTTCGTCTATGTAGCCATTAACCATTTGATGGCTAAAGGCTTTATTCCTCAAGCCAAATCCTACTTTGATACCCCTTTCTATAAGTTTTTTGCAGTTGTTCTTGGAGTTGGAACAATTGGTGTTGTTATGATATGGGATTAGGGTTTTTTTTTTTTTTTTTTAAGATTTTTATCATGAGTTTGATTTCTTCAAATGTTGTCTCAACTATATGAAAATTGTTTGTGTGAAATTGTTCTTCTCTATATGTATTTTATTTTTTTTCTTGCCAATTTTGTGTGGCGGTTTTTTTTTTTCTAAATTTTCTAGTACTTATTATAGTTCTTCATTCTTGTACATATGATCTTATAATACAACTATATCACTTGGCCCTTTCTACAATGAGTCAATGTGTTATGTGATTATAAGTTAACCTTATATATTAACATAAATGATTTTTAACATTGTTTGTTATAAGTTGTATTTTGTCGGGTTCATGTGCTATATATTTGTATTATATTAATATAATTAAAGTATTGTCTATCTTTTTTGTTGTATACTATATGTATAAATATTTATATTGTGTGCTGTTAGCATTGTCCTAAATTTTGTATCTTAGCTAGAGCTTCAAAACAAACAAATAGTTTGTAAACTCGACTCGGTTCAGCTTATTTGAGTTAGTTAAGGGCTCGTTTGTCAAGCTAAACGAGCCAAACACGAACGAGCTCGAGCTTGTTTGCAAATTTTGACCATATTTATTTTTAAAAAATAAAATTAATATTTTTATATTAAATAAGTGTACATATCTTTATAAATATTATATTTAATCCTATTTTATTTAAATTTAATAATATAAAATTATAATTATTATTAATTAAATTTAAATTTTTTAATAAAATATTTTAACGAGCCAAGCCTAGCTGAACCGAAAACAAACAAATAAAATTGCTAAACCAACCAAGTTCAAATAAAAATTTCAACTCGTATCTATTAACAAACGAACACGAGCCGAACTCAAACATAACAAACTCGACTCAGTTCAGCTCGTTTACAGCTCTAATATAAGTGTAGTAAATATTTTCATATATAATCATTTTCATTAAAAAATAATAATATTATTGCAACTTTGATACAAAAATAGAGATAAAAATGCAAATGAACATCTTTGGAGTATGTTTTTAAATATTTGATTTGAATCTATATTTGGAGTTTGAGAGTAGTAAAAACTTAGACCGAAATAATATTTTATTTAGTACAAATAAATATTTAACATAAAATAAAATTATTTTTATATAATATTAAATTAAAAATATGTTTCTATTTTAAAGAAAGAGTGATAAATAGTCAATTTTAAAAGGACACATCCTAATTATTATTTGGTCCCATTGCCATATGGACGACATAGTCAATGGGACTTTACTTTTTAGAAATTTGGACTCATTCAAATAATGGGTTTTTTTTTGCAAAAAAAATTAATTTGAATTTAATATTAAAATAATGTATAATGAGATGTTTTGTAAGAGAAAAAAATATATATATATTTTAAAAAATGCCGAGTTCAAATAATGAGTTTCTTTTGATGAGTTTGTGAAAAATTTAATTTGAATTTAGAATTAAAATAATGTACAATAAAATATTTTCTGAGAATTTTTTTTTTTTTTTTTTTTTCCCAAAAAGTGCTGAGTCCAAACAGTAGAAACTGGATTTGTTGTCAAAAGAAACAAACGTTTTGTTGTTTTTGAGTCCACGACGACTTGACCAATCTATAAATGCATTTTCTAGTTGTGGAAAATATCGACCTTAGCTTGTAATTAATTATTTGCAATTAATTTGTACATGACAAATATAAATGCTTTAACTTAAGTGAAATTATATGAATAAAAGTCCAAATTATTTAATTAAATAAGATTTTAGCCTATTTGTTTATTATTATTATTATTATTATTATTATTATTATTATATTTTATTATTTTTTTTTGGGTAAAATACATAATACATCTCTATATTTTATGAAAATTGCATATAATATCATGTATTTTATTTATTGCAGGATAATTTTTTGTTAGTAAAATCTGTCTAATGAAGAATCACACACTTATTATGCAGATGACATTATATTGAATAAAAATAAAAATTCTAATTTTTTTTTTATTATTATTAGAACTTTTAGGTAATATAAAAAAATAAAAGAAATAAGATTGATAGCTTATTATATATAAAAGCAAATCCCTTGAAGTTGAGAGATTGTTTATCAAATTTTGTAATTCTTATCTAAATTTTGTTATTTTTGAACAAAACAAATATTTTATAAAAACTTTAGGATAATACAAAAATATTTCATTCAATAAATAAAATATAGAATATTATGTGTATTTTTCATAAAATACTTGTTTGTGGTGTAAAATAGTTTGAATTGATGATTTATACGTGAGTTATAGAGAATTGTGTAACTGATATAAAATAATGAGTGTGTAATATATTAATTTTTTTGAAAAAATATATATATTTGACAAAACAAACAAACCAACCCAAAACAAATATTGAATATATATATATATATTTTTTATGAATAGTAAAAATTTAGAAAAATATCTACAAACAAATAGAGGTTGAATATGAAAATGCTTTGAATATTTTTTGGATGAATATTAGAATATGATATACTCACTTCATCTCATCTTAGTTGTCCAATTTTTTGTAGATACAAAAATCTAAACATGAATATAATTCGTAAATAATTAAAAAGTTTATTAATAAAAAACAATTATCGTATAATACAAATAATTATAGACTATAATTATGATAACTAATTAATTTAAGTAAGATTATAAAATTTAAAATGCGATTAAAATTTTAATTATTTTCTAAAAAAATAAAAATATATATGAAAATTTTGGATTCCAGGTACCGGATCATACCCAATGCCTGATTAATTTTATGATTTGAAAAAATATATATTATTATGATATCATAAAAATATCATATAAATTACTCATTCCGTCCCAATTGTAAGTAATTTTTTTTACCATTTTTGTATATTTCATTTCAAAGTATCAATTTTTTATTTTAGTACACTAATATCATAATACATTTATACAAAAATTAGTTTATACAAAAAATCAAATGATAAAAATTTCATAATTCCTTGCACACTACTACTAATTAATAAAATACAATTAATTTTTGATCTATTATAAAACCCAAATGACCTCTTTTAAAGGGGACCGAATAAGTAATACTTATTCACAAATTCTTACTTCATTAAAATCCTATTTTATTTAACCTTTTCTTGTGATTAATTTATTTTCATTTCTCACTAGCAATATGAAGCTCATTTAAATCTATTCATTATTGCTCTATTTATTTATTTTTACATGTTTTCAAAACACAATTCTCCATTTCTACCGAATAAGAAGAATCAATTCTCACTATCTATTCAATTGTTTTACATATATATAAATTTTTTTATCTATTACTACTGCCGTTCGACTCTATGGGTTATATTTATTTTTTACATTGAATATTAATTATTATATGAAAATGCAATACAAATTAAGAAAAAATAAACAAAAATACTTATATTAGTGTCTTATAATACTATTATAATAAAATTTGTGCAAAAACTTATATAAATATAAAAATATTTTTAATGTTAAATATAATAACGTAAAATATAAATGAGCTTTTTAGAGTCTGATAGAGAAAATATTATTTTTCTACAATTTTATTCTTTATACCAAAAGCCCAGTCTCAACCGCGAGCCACTATCTATAGTCATTCATAAATATGCCCATAAATATCAGCCCTCGTTCTTCCATTTCTAACCACAAAAAATATCTTTCAATTCCATGGCTGCTCCCTCTCTCAGCTCCACCTCAACTACCCTCATCACTCTTCTAACACTCCTCCTCCTCCGCCTCTCCATCGCCGCCGCTCACGGCGGCCACAGCCACAGCGACTCCGACACCGACGCCGACGCAGACAATAGAGATCCGCGCGAGAAGGGGCTGATTCTGGTGAAGATATGGTGCCTGATCATCATGTTCGCGAGCACATTCGCCGGCGGGATCTCGCCGTACTTCTACCGGTGGAACGAGAGCTTCCTGCTTCTGGGGACTCAGTTCGCCGGCGGCGTGTTCCTGGGGACGGCGCTGATGCATTTCCTCAGCGACTCGACGGAGACGTTCGGGGAGCTGACGCCGGACAAGGAGTATCCCTTTTCCTTCATGCTGGCGGCCGCCGGATATCTGCTCACGATGCTCGGCGACTGCGTCATCGCCTGGCTGCTGAAAGACCTGCCGCCGCCGGCCAAGGAGAGGGTCGAAGGGTTGGAAGACGGCGGCGGCGGCGGCGCGGGGTTTTCGGCGGAGGTGACGACGTACTTCGTGAAAACGGCGTCGTTGGGAGACACGGTGCTGCTCATACTCGCGCTTTGCTTCCACTCCGTCTTTGAGGGCATTGCCGTTGGAGTTTCCGGTGAGTTTTTCTTTTTTTTTCAATACATAATATATTTATAATAAATAACTTAATTCACTTCTAATTTTATTACTGTTATTTTAATAAATAATAATTAATTTGTATTTATTTTATTTACTTATCTCATTATTTTTTTATTAACTCTTTAATAAATTATCTATAAATTAAATAGCTTAGTATTTTCTCCGTCATTTAAATTTATGTTTATTTGATCGGACACATATTTTAAAAAAATAGATAAAAATTAATTTTTTTTTCTTTTTATGGTAAAGAAAAAGTAGGAAAAATAATACTCCCTCCGTCCCATAACAAAGTATCCATTTTTTTTATTTTAATCCGTCCTATTACAAAGTATCTATTTCATTTTATAGTAACTGTACTATCTACTTAACATTACAAATACTCTTACAACTTACAATATATTACACAAATATCAGTACATTTATATCACACATACTAATAAGGTTATTTAGTCATTTCTACTTTATTCCTATTATATCCCAATATAATACTAATATTTCTAAAATTACGTGTAAAAAGCAAATTGATATTTATTGATGGGACGGAAGGAGTGTATGTTTTACTAAAAATTGAAAGGAGAATAAGTTTGGATGTAAATTAAAAAAGAAAGTAGAAATAAATTTGAATGAGAGACGAAGTATTATTTATTAGCCTTCGTGTCCAGACATTGTAGCATAATTAACCCTGATAGAGAAAGTATATATTATTGATCAATCATGAAAATATAGGGTTTGTTTAGTTGTGATTTGAAATGAGAATATTAGATTTGAATTTTTTTTATTAAATCCCATTTTTATGTAATAATTTGTGGTAAAAAATAATACTACCTCCGTCCGAAAGACCAAAAGAAGAGTTCATTTGACTTTTTTGTGTATATGTTTAAATATTAATTATTATATTAATATGTCATACAAATCAAAAGAAAATAATAAAAAGACTTCTATCAATCTTATAATACAAATATAATAGCATCTATAAAGCATTATACAAAATATAAATATATTTTTAATATTAAGTCCAATGATGTGAAAAACAAACGACATTCTAATTATAGGACGGGGTAATAATATATTTTTAGTATATATAAAAATTAAGAATATTTCAGTACAAGTATGAGAAATTGATATTTTTAATGAATAAATGAACACCTATTTAGATCTGAGTTAATGAATGATGATTAAAAATATATTTAATTGCTTAGTATTTAATTTTCTTTTGAATTATTTTAAAAATATCAAAAATTTAGAATAAAAAAATGATATTTTGAATAAAATATTTTACATTGTCATATGATATTTTAAATAGAGAATGACAAATTACAATGTAAAACATTACATTAAAAAAAATTCAAATTCAAATTCAAATTAATATTGCATTAAATTTTAAATTACAAAACAACCAAAATAAAAAATTTCAAACTAAATAAAAAATAAACATAGAAGTGTAGAGAAAGAGCGTTACGAAACTGATAAAATCAACTCATTAGATAAAAATAAAATAACTAAATACGACTAACCCTTTAATAAAAAACAATAATTTTGATTATATCCCTACAAGTACTTTCTTTTTTCTGTCGTATTTTTATTTACTTTTAGAACTCTCAAATATTCTATAAAATTGTGCAGGTAATAAAGCGGAGGCATGGCGAAACATGTGGACAATCTCGTTACACAAGATATTCGCGGCCGTCGCGATGGGCATCGCACTTCTAAAGATGATACCACAAAGGCCACTTGTAACAACCGCGATCTACTCATTCGTGTTCGCCATTTCGAGCCCTATTGGGATAGGAATCGGCATTGCACTTGACGCGACCACACAAGGGCCGGCGGCCGATTGGACTTACGCGATCGCGATGGGACTTACTTGCGGAGTCTTCATATATGTAGCCATTAACCATTTGATCGCCAAAGGGTATCGATTGCAAGTCGAGTGCTACTACGACTACTCTTTTTACAAGTACTTTGCCGTGCTCCTCGGCGTCGCGGTAATTGCAATAGTGATGATTTGGGATTAGTAAATAATGTATGATCGAACATTGTAATTTGGATATATATCGATGTATGTATACATTTTTTTTTTTAGGTTAATTTTTTTTTTATTTTTTATTTTCGAATGGATGTGCAAATGTTTGTGTGTTGGTATGAGGTTATATGATAGATTGTTTTGTGTTATGATTTTATTTTATTTTATTTTTTTGTAGATATGAATTTAGTTCTTGCAATTGATAATGTTCAATTAAACATAATTGATCGTACTATAAGAAAAACTTCAACCCCCTGCAAATATTAAAATTGGAGTTTGAATTCCAACCCAACCACCACTCTGTTATTCGAATACTATTTTTCAAAATAATAATAAACAACATAATTTTTTTTTTTACAAAAATTAAAATGTCAAAAAAAAGAAAAAGAACTTAAAAAAATATTGGTTAAAAAAATAAAAAGTAAAATATTCAATTTAAAATAATATACTCTCTCCGTCCCAAAGCAATTGAGATATTTGAAATGAGCACGTGAATTAAAAAATATTAGTATTATATTGATATTGAGTGTAAAAATATTTCTAAATGACCAAAATACCACTATTTTATGTAACTATTACGAAAAGATTGAAATAATTTTGTAAATAAATGAGAGCTAGTTACCAAAAATAGAAACACGATTATTGTTTTGAAAGAACGAAAATGACAAAATGAGACTTGTTTTGAACCAGATGAAATATTTTATACTTTTGATACAATTTCCCTTATCACATAAAAAATCAATTCATTTAAAACTGCTGCGAAAACGGAGCCCACATTTTTCACTCTATTTTTTAAGTTTGCTACTCCACTTCATTTCTGTTTTATTACGGACAATTTTAATGGGTTATTAGTTTATCAAAGTATATTTTTATTTTTCTTAATTAACTAATCATTTATTGTTTTATATAAAACATTTTAATTTGTTTCCCACATTAATTAACCGATAATTGTATTTACATAAAAGAAATACTCCCTCCGTCCAGTTAAAAAGTATATATATTTCTATTTTGGAACGTCCAATTATAAAGTAAATATTTCATTAAATACCTTACTTTTTTCCACAAATACCTTTACTTTACATCACATAATTACTTTTACACCAAAAAGTAAGAGTAAAAATATCATTACACTACTTTTAACTACTCACTATAATTAAAATACTATTATTTCTTAAACAACGCGTCAAAAGTAATTGTATACTTTATGAGTGGACAGAGGGATTATTTAACAGATAAAACCACAGATATTATTGATCCATTTTATACACTATTAAAGTTAATTTCACTATTAAACCACATAAATTTATTATTATTTTTTTAAAAAAAAAAGTTAATTTCACTTTTTAGTAAATTTTAGGTTAGTGAAATATATATACATATATGTATATATATGCATGCAGTTGCTTCGAGTATTCTACAAATAGCTTAAAAGGGAAACATTAAAAAGTTCGAAAATAAAAATTTAACTACACAAAAAGTGTAAGCATACATACATACATACATACATGTATATATACATATACTATGCTCAGATGTATTTTTCTGCCACAAGGTCCGTAGTTGGTGCAGCTGATAATTTAATTCAATATAGTTCTTTCGTCTCATAATAAAGTATTTTTTTTTATTTTGGTCCGTTTCATAACAAAATATTATTTTTTTTTGTAATTGGGCTATCTACCTAACATTACAAATACCCTTACAACTTACAATATATTACACAATTGTTATTACCTTTATATTACACATACTAATAAGGTTATTTCAGTCATTTCTACTTTATTCATACTACATCCCAATATAGTACTAATATTTCTAAAATTATGTGCAAAAAAAAAAAAGGATATCTAATTATGAGACGAATGATGTATTAAGGGAACTAAAATTATACTCCCTCCGTCCACAAACTAATGTCCTACTTTCCTATTTGGGATGTCCAACAACTATTGTCCTATTTCCTTTTTTAAACACAAATTTGACATTTTTACCTTTCATTTATTTATTTTTTTTAATCTCTACCATACACTTAAGGACAAATTTGTCTATTTATAACAAAAAGACAATCACCTAAAAAACCGTATAAATATATTTTAGGACAATAAAAATTGAACAGAAAGTAATAAAATTGGAAGGCATTATTGAAATAAAAAAATAATAAATTATTATTATTATTATTATTATTATTATAAAAAAGGGTGGATAAGAGGTCAATGTTGCAGAGGATGGATATATGATATGTATGCCCTACGGGGAAATGATTAGAACATGTTTATCACCTTCGCTTAAAAGGATAAATTTCAATTTCAAGTATATATAATTGCCAATTTTTTCCTTCTATAATCCTATTGTCTTATTCAACAAGTGTTACAGTTGAACAATTATTATGTTACATATATATATATATATGCCGTCCCAAAAGTACAGTCTTATTGCGTTGGATATGAGATTTAAATAATATTGATATTACATTGGTAGTTGGTAAAAAATAATGATAAATAACTTTTTTGCCTCTCTGTGAATATATTAGTGTAAAAAGTAGTAGCAATTGTGTAATAATAATGAAACAGTAGAGATAGTTTTATAGTGATATGGTTATTTATAAAAATGAGACTATTATTTTGGGACGGACAAAAATGATAAATAAAACTACTGTATTGAGACGGAAGAGAGTAATATATATATGTTTTATTAGTATTGTGCTAATTAATTATAATCAACACATGAAATATAATAGTCGGCACAGTAATTGTTATGTTTATTTAATTGGGATCGTGTGTGTATATATATATATATTCATTTTCTTATAAAAATATGTGGTTTTGTTGTGGGTTTTGCGTTGTTATTATTATTATTATTATTCGAACAGTAATTTGAATATTATTATTTTAATTTTTCGATTTGAACAGTAATTTGAATATTATATTTTGTAAGAAAGAATTATATATTTTTATAAATAATTTTTTTTTTTTTATTATTATTCAAACATTGTAATTTGAGAATAATTTTTAGGGTGTGTTCTTTTATCAAACTTTTATTATTTATTAATTTTTTTTTTAAAAAAATATCAAATCAAATATTTATTTTTTATTTTTTATATTATACTATTAAAAATAAAATTAAAGTTACCAAAAGTTATTGAACATTGCGATTGAGTAAGCGATCAAGATGGCAAATTTAATACTCTCTCCATCCCAAAACTAAGGTTTTAGTGAAGTTAAACACAAGATTTTAAAAATATTAATATTATATTGATAGTCGGTAAAAAGTACGAGACTTTTTTGTCTTGTGAGTGTATTACTGTGAATAACAGTGGTATCTGTATAATAATAATGAAAAAATAAGAATAATTTTATGGTGATACGAGTATTTATATAAATGAGACTATTGTTTTAGAACGAACAAAAATAGTAAATAAGACTATTGTTGTATTGTGACGGAGAAAATATAATAATTTATAATAAAATATATTATAAATAATATATATATATATATATTAATTTCACATGAATTTTTAAATATAATTTGAAAACAAGAAAGTGTTAAGAGAGAGTTGAAAAATGTAAGATACAAAAAGTTAAGGTTGACAGTTGGACAAACAGTTGGTATCTCACTCAAATTTCTTTAACCATAATTCACATTTTTATTTCTATTTTTATTTCAGTTACTATTATTGTCGGGACTGCTCATTTTTGTTCCCTTCTTCCATATCTTATAAATACCAAACCATTTCTCACTCCTTCACCACACTCACTATTTCTCACTCCTCGTTAACTCACAACACAACATAGATTTCTGCTAACCTTTGCCAATCATGTCCTCATCTCCGGGCTCCGCAATCGCCGTTTCACTCGTCTTCTCCCTTCTTTTCTTCGGCCATTCGGCTGCCGTCACGAGGAACTACAAGTTTGACGTAACGATCCGACCCGATCCTTTAATCAATCCGATCGTCAGAAATTTCGTTATTTTTCGATCCCGGCAGTACGTAATTTTTTTTTTTTGCCGATTTTTGTGTCTTCTTGTTTTGTAGATACGGCTGCAGAATGTGACGAGGCTGTGCTCGACGAAAAGCATAATCACCGTCAACGGAAAATTCCCAGGGCCGCGGATTGTTGCCCGGGAAGGCGACCGTGTCGTGATTAAGGTCGTCAACCATGTGCCGAACAATGCCTCGATCCATTGGTACGTATAATTTTTGCACAACGACGTTTTCGTCGTCGTGCATTACCATTCCATTGGTTAATGTTGGAAAATTATATAATATGTAATAAATGATGCGTATTCCTATAAGCTTAAATTTTTTAAATGAGATGACAATTTAATATGATATCAAATTAGAAAGCTCTCAAATGTTTTTTTATTAATTTAAATTTTTAGGTGAAATTTTCGAAAAAAAATTAAAATTTAGTTATAAAAAAGTAGCAAAAGGTAATAAATTCATAGAAAGATTTATTTTTTTTTTGTGACAAAACTTGTTTCGTCGGCTATACCGCGTTAATAAAAGTCTTAGATGACAAATTTGACTTTTATAACGAAAAATAAGGTTTTTGCACTTAAAGTTAAATAGAGCTCTTTTTCTATAAAAATAAAAGTTTATAACATAAGAGTTTTAACAACAAAAAATGTGCACAATTTTTTTTAGCCAAATATTTTTAGCTATGAAAAATGATTCTATAACTAAAATTCTTTTGCTATGAAAATAGAATTTTTTTTTTTAGCAAAAAAAAAAAAATTAGGGACGAAATTATTTTTGTAATACCTAATTTATTTCTAGCGATGAAATTAATTTTTGGTGTTGAATGACCAATTTTAACTCCAAAAATATTTTATAGTTAAAATTATTGTAGTTAATTAGATTTTTTTTTTTTTAAGTGACATTTAAAAGTTATGGTGTCGATCTATTGTGATCAGGCACGGGATTAGACAGTTGCGAAGCGGATGGTACGACGGGCCATCGTATATCACCCAATGCCCGATCCAAACGGGGCAAAGCTACACGTACAACTTCTCGATCATCGGCCAAAGAGGCACATTGTGGTGGCACGCGCACATCTCGTGGCTCCGAGCCACTCTCCACGGACCGTTCATAATCCTCCCGGCCAAGGGCGCGTCGTATCCGTTCCCCAAGCCCCATAGAGAAGTCCCCGTCATCTTCGGTTAAGTTTCGCGCGGAACTCTAAATCACACGTAGTTTTACAAATCGTCGCAAAAAATTTATACTAATTATGTCAAAATTTTGTAATAGGGGAGTGGTGGAAAGCGGATACAGAAGCCGTGATCAGCCAGGCCCTCCAGACGGGAGGTGGGCCTAATGTGTCAGATTCTTACACCATCAACGGCCTCCCCGGGCCGTCGGCAAATTGCTCGGCCAACGGTATTCGATCAAGCTGTCACACGACATTCGTTTTTTTTATCCGTTTGTGAATTTTGACAATTTTTTTTTTCGATTTGTTTTACAGAGACTTTTAAGTTGAGGGTGAAACCGGGGAAAACGTACCTCCTCCGGCTCATCAACGCTGCGCTCAACGACGATTTGTTCTTCAGTATCGCTAACCATACAGTGACTATCGTCGAAGCGGATGCACTTTACGTAAAACCATTCACGACGGACGTTCTCGTGATTGCTCCTGGACAAACGACTAACGTCCTCCTCCACACGAAGCTGAATCCGACAAAAATGACGTTCGTAATGGCCGCCCGGCCGTATTTCACCGGACAAGGCACGTTCGACAACAATACCGTCTTCGGCCTCCTCGAGTACAAAACCCCCGGGGCATCGAACCCTTCCATCTTGAACCTCCAAATCCCGACGCTTCCCCCGATCAACGGAACCTCGGCCGTCGCCAACTTCAGCAACCGGTTCCGAAGCCTCGCGAGCGCGCAATTCCCGGCCAATGTGCCGCAACAAGTCGACAAGAAGTTCTTCTTCACGGTCGGGCTCGGTAGCAACCCGTGCCCGAAGAACCAAACTTGCCAAGGCCCGAATGGCAGCAAATTCGCCGCGTCGATCAACAACATCTCGTTCGTGAACCCGACGATCGCCATCCTCCAGTCGTACTTTTCCGGCCAGGCCGGAAAAGTCGTCACCACCAACTTCCCGGCTTTTCCACTGATCCCGTTCAATTACACCGGCCCCCCGCCGAATAACACGCTCGTCATCAACGGGACGAAGGTCCTCGTGGTGCCGTTCAACACGACAGTCGAGGTGATACTACAAGACACGAGCATCCTCGGCGCTGAGAGCCACCCGTTCCACCTCCACGGCCACAATTTCTTCGTCGTCGGCCAGGGATTTGGGAACTTCGACCCGAACAAAGACCCTCAGAGCTTCAACCTCGTCGACCCCGTTGAGAGGAATACGATTGGCGTCCCCTCCGGCGGTTGGGCCGCCATTCGCTTCCGCACCGACAATCCAGGTTCTTGATTTATATATAATATTGTTAGAATTTTAACGATCGAACACCAATTAAGTTAATATAATATAGAAAATAGGAACTAAGAACACGCGATACGGTAATTCAGTTCGATCAGATTGATCTATCATCAAACATATATATATATGAATTTGTATGTATATATGTATGTATAGGTGTGTGGTTCATGCATTGCCATTTTGAGGTCCATCTGAGCTGGGGATTGAAGATGGCATGGCTGGTGTTGGATGGAGAACTGCCCAACCAGAAGCTGCCTCCTCCACCGTCGGATCTTCCCAAGTGCTGATCGTGGCCGTTGGATCCGATTGAGTTCAAGAATTTAATTTATGTCCTGAGATTTTTCTGGTGTTTTGGTTTTGGTTTAATTCGACTTTCGATATTTTTGAAGTGAGTGTGGATTTTAATTTGTGCTGTGTTTTTGTTCTTGTTTGGCTTTAATTAATATATGTGTCTGTTTTGTCTGTCTGTCTTCCCATGGAATAAGAAACAAATTTGGACTTCATTTTTTTTGTCACAACTTTGTCGAATAAATTACTTTTTTTCTAGTTTAGGGGATAAAAATTTGATAAGTAATAAAATTATACTCCCAGATACCATGTCCAAGTTGCCTTTTTTGGCCGTCCCACATACCATGTCACTTTCCTTTTTTTGAAAAATGATTACACACTTTAATCTCATTTTAAATTTTTTAATTTTTTTTTTATTTTAATTAAACTAATTAGTTATCTTAATCTTAATTTATAATTATTTATATTATAAGATAATTATTTTTACTAATACATTCTTAATTATCTACTAATTATATCCCTCCTAAAATACCGTGTCTACAGTGTAGCAGACACTGTGGGACCGAGGGAGTAATAAATTTATCAATCATAAATTCTAAATATATTTAGGAAACTACAATATCAGGTTTAGAGAGCAATAAAGGATGCATATCGATAGGGTCATTCATAGGTTACAATAGAAGAATTATTATTATTTCATTCATAGGTTACAATAAAAGAATTATTATTATTTCTATGATGCGATATTTTTAATGTAAAATTAAATTTTAATAAATATAATAAATAAAAATGAACATTTGATTTATATTTTTGAAGGAAAAAAGAAAATTGAAATAATAAAATCACATGGGCATTTGTAAAAATAAACACTCTATCTGTCTTGCTCAAAACTGTATATTTCTTATTCTAGTCCAAATGATTATATATTAATATCAAAATACATAAAGATTTATTTATTACACCTTCTTTGTTCAAAAAAATTTATTTTATTCAAAAAGTTATTTAAGATATTTTTTATTTTTTATTTAATTATTTAGAATCAAACATCAATTTATAAACAAGGTGAGTATTTCGTACAAACTTTACGTTAACAAAAATTTCATACAATAAATAAAACATGGAGTGTTTTGAGCAATTGTGTGATGTAATTTACCCAATATTATTTAACTTTTATCTAAGTTGGAAACATATTATTTCACATATAATTAATTTATATATAAAAACAATAGAAAAAAAATATCAAAATTTCTTACACATACTATTATTTCTTAATCCCTAATTTACAACCAATGGACTTTGCAGTATTGGGATAAGGACCATTAATATTTCAAGTCTTATTCTTCCGAAGAGCTTGAAGTTCTTCATTCATGTTTTTACATCAATATACTCTTTCCGTCCAAATTCAAAGTATTATTTTTACTATTTTTGTTTATCCATTTCCTATTTTAGAAAAAATAATCGTACATTAATACCAAAATACTTTTAACTTTTACTTAAATTACAAACATACAATTACTTGTCAATGGACAAAAATGTCAAAATCTCTTCTACATTTCCACTATCCAATAAAATACTATTCCCTCCGTCCCAAAAGTATAGTTTGGGTTGTGTTTGATACGAAATTTAAGAAATATTGATATTATATGGGTAGTGGATAAAAAATATAAATAAAAGACTTTTTTACCATTGTGAGTGTACTAGTGTAAAAAGTAGTGATAATTGTGTAATAATAATGAAAAAGTAAGGTTAGTTTTAGTTTTATAGTGATATGATTATTTATGAAAATGAGACTATTGTTTTGGGACGGACAAAAATAGTAATCAGTACTATTGTATTGGGACGGAGGGAGTATTATTTTTTAATCTACAACAAAACCCGAAAAGCCCTTTTCAAAAATAGTTAGATTATATGTTTGTTCTTTCGAACCAATTTTGTGTTGACACTACACATCACATTATATTCCTGGAGACAATACATTATTTATATTAATATAATACAAATACATCTAACCGTATATGTAATATAGTCTACTTAAACTATCTTCACATATAGTCTACTAAAATCACAATATATCGAGCTTGTTTACCGAATCTAAAGTTCAAATATAACATCGAAAATTGCTTCTACAAACCTAAAATTCCAACATAGCTCAGAAATATCGAAGCCAGAATCAAGCAAGGATGAACAGAGGAAGAACAAAATAAGAACCAATGGAATTTTTGACTTCAATTCTGTCTTTGTAATGTAACTATGAGACTGGAACATATTTAAATTTTGTTCACCTCTCTAAATCCTATTGCAGATTCAATCATATTTGCAGATTATACGGAAAGTCGAAACCACATTTCATAAGAACACAAAAGGAATTCACTACCAGAAGTATAAACACCATGAAATTACAGGAAAAAGAAATGATTCTTACAATCGCCGAGAGAACAGATGAACTAACCTCAAGAAACTGTCGTCCTGTTCATTCTTTTCCGAATTGCTATGCTACAATGCACATCAATTTCTTCTTAGCCAACTGACATTTTTTGATCCTAGTAATTCAATCTCCCATGGCTCCCACCTGCACCGGAAGTGAAGCTATGTAAATCAAAGAAACCTGTAAACTATACAAGATTAATTAGTGACAACTATATGTCGAATGCAAGAACAGGAAAAAAAGAAGTATAGATTTCCAAGAAACTCTGTTTTCGCATAGAACATAGCGAATAAGCTAAATGGGGATTTGATTTTACTATAAGATCATAGAGTAATATCATAATACTCGGGAATTGGTCGCATATAACTTTGGTTTTGTTTGTCTAGTCACCAATAAAGAATCAACATCAAGTTCGACACATATGGAGCGTAATTAAGATTACAAAACAATCGAATATTTGATCAAGGAACCTAAATTCAACTAAAAAAGTTACTTCTGCCATTTGAAAACTCTCAAACACAATCTCCATTTTTAACAACCATGCTGGATCTTAGTTAACATACTCAACAAGCTTCGAATTTCGTACTTCATCTTTCAAAACTTACAAACTCTGAACTACATGATCAATTTGGGAACGTGTGTTTTAAAAGTTCCTAAATATTAAACAGTATGATCAACGTGGACAAGTCGAGAGTTGCAGCAGCTCATCAATGGAGTTCGAATGCAATCACACAACTATAGATCTTATTGATTGAATTCTTTTTCTACATAAATCACTCAAAAAAAAAGAAAACCATGGATTCAGTGAAAACAGAGTGATTGTTTGAGCAACATTGAAACTGATTCGAAGATATGATCCAATCTAAATCAAAACTCAATCAACATACACAAACTTTGAAATTATGTGCAAACCTCATTCCATCAAATACACAAACAAAAATTAACCTAAATTATTTGCTGAAATTACTTTCTCCAATACCTCATTAAGGAGGCGATGGATCTGCTTCTAGAGAAGCAACGGAAGAAGGTTCCGGAGGTTCCCTATGCAGCTCTTTAACGACGGCGACAAGAGATTCTGGATTGACGCCCATTTCACAAAGCGCAATGAGGATCGAAAGCGTGTGTCGGTCGAGGCCGGTTTCGAGAATATTCGACATTCGAAACACCAAATCCAGCGATTCCCGCGCAGTCCGTGCAGCTTCGGGATTCATAGCTCTAAATTTGAAATCTTGATCTTAAACTACTCCTACTGGAGTCGATTCACGCCTCTTCGACGCCAAATGAATTTAAACACGAAAATGCAAACCTCAAGAACATTATTGCACCCAATATCCCAAATGTAATTCAGCATAATGAAAATCGACAATCTGTAAGTCGATCAACACAAAGAACTAAGCATCTTAAGAAAGTCCATGTTCATGGCTGATGAAAATAGGTCTCAATTGTTCATGCTGTCCTGGTCATTTACTTCTTCAGATAGTTTTATTTTTATTTTTATTGAATCAACAATTTATTTAATTTCAGTATTTTTGAAAAACTTCTGTACATTCTCCTCGTAAGAAAACAGCTAAAGATCAAAACATCACAGATGAACAATAATTGAAAGCAAATTATTTAAACCAGAGAATCAAAACATAACAGAAATTTACAAACCTCATAAAAATAACAATCTGCAAATTTCACAAAATTCTGGTAGCATAAGCAATACAAACAAGCAAATATCACAAGGGGAAAAACAGAATCATCACCTCAATCCCTCCAAATCTCAGTCAGAAACAGCATTTCTAAGGTAATTCAAATTTCAAAAACGAAACCAGACAAAGAAGAAGCTCAATTGATCGGAAATTGAAAAAGAAAAATTCGAAAAACGTCGGTATTAACTTACTGGTTTTCTGAGGGAGGAGAACGCCGGCGGTGGTCTTCGACGGCGGAGTTATCTTCTAAACCAAAACGCGGTTCAGAAGCTGGACCAAGCGCTTCACCATTTGATTTCCTGCGCAAGAAGACAGCACAATCCAAGAGCACGAAGAAGGAGGGTTTTATTGAAATGACCATAATACCCTTTATTTTACATTTCATAAGCCCACTTATGTAGGCCCATATTTAACAATTAATCAGCCTAATAATGACTAATTTGGCCCAATTCATTCTTGGTAGCCCAATTTAAAGCCCAAACTATAATTATGACATTTAAGAAAAAAAAAAAAAAAAGGAAATTTTTGACATAGGATTTGATATTCCAATGATGTTAGAAAAATGGCTTTGACCAAAACTAATAAAAAGTTTGTAGACCAAAAAAATATATAAATAAATTAAAAAATAAAATAAAATAAAAATGCATGAGTTTGCTTGTGGAGCAATATTAACATTCCCTTTTAGTTTAACAATAATCTTCAGGGGCCGGGTCGGCGGCGGGTACGACGTCATCTTCTCTTCCTCCTCTAAAATGAGTGATAAAAGTATATATTATCTTTTATTTTTATAGATAAATTATAAATTATAATTAATATAGTGGATAAAATTTCTACTAATTTTGGTATAATCTTAATTTGTGCAAGAGAATTGAGTTATTCATGCTCATGTCAAATTTTCGATCAAAGAATAATGGAAGTGCTTGATTTAAACTTGCATGTCAAGAAAAGTGATGGATTACGAGAACTGAGACATAATTGTAGGCATCATAATTTAATGGAAAGATTAAAGCCGCGATTTGAAGATCCGATCATCTATAAAAAGGGAGCAATGCATTGGACTAAATCATCATAAATTATACTCTCATTTCATAGAATAACTTGGAGGATTGGGAAGGACAGTTTGAGAGGAAGCGCCGTCAGAGATCATCATTGTCTTTATTTTATTACTTTATTTTATTTTAAGAATGAGT